AGGAAGGCTGGATGGTATTCGAGGAATGTCATGTAATAATCGGGCGGCCATTTGAGCGTCCGTTTTGACGACAGGCGGCGCCACTGCTCGACTCGCTCGCTTGCTCGCGCGCGCGCCAAGGAGCCTGTCCGAAGGGAGAGAAAGAGAAAGAGGGAAAGAGAAAGAAAGAGGGGCAGGGGGAGAGAGAGAGAAGTTATGGCTAAGCCTCGTGGCAACGATCGCCGACGATGAACCCCTCTCGACGGGTCCTCTCTCTCTCCTCACACACATACACACACACACACGCGCGCGCGCGCGCGCATTCTCCTGCTCTCTCCTCAGCGTGGGCCATCGATTATGCGCCGCGAAATTAAGCGCGATAACTTTTCGACGACGAGAGGGCATTCGTGCTTACTCAAAAGGGTGCGAAAAAGTAAAGAGATTTTTTTCTTCTCCCCTCGACAAAGGCTATGTCCATCGCATGAATTCAAGGATCACCGATCATCGATGCTATCCGAACGTAAGAAAGATAAGCATATAGATACTAGACAAGTTACATCGTGTATAACGAAGACTGTAAAAAAAGATCGATATCATATTTACAATATGACCGTATGCGGGTCACTCGGTCACGAATACGGCCGAAGTAGTACTTCTCGAGAGAGCAAAATCCATTTGACGTGAACTTAGGAAACTCAAGCTTGAGTTCTGTGCTCTGGGACGATTTGAGAAAAATAAGGGGATGATGAAATGGGAATTAAATAAGTAAAATAAATCGTTTTAATGTAACACGACGATGCTAAGGAGGACGAAAGGAAAGGAGGAAGGAAGGAAGGAAAGGGTGAAACGCTGGGTTAAAAAAAGGGCTGCGGGGTAGGGGATCGAAGCTTAAAACGGGGCAAGCAACGAGAGAAAAAAAACCGGTATTTTTGCGTCGAGCACCAAGGGGTGCATTTCGTTGCGATTATAAAAGGCAGGGCAACCCCCGGTGTGTCTAGACGACGTGGCCTCCTATCAAAAACAGACCACCGAATTGAAAAGCCCGAAAGGGCAAGGAACTCGTCACAATGCCAAGAAATTAAAGTTTCTCTATATATCCACCTATACTCGTTCTTCGAGCACTCTTTCTCTCTCTCGCTTCCTCTCACTCTTTCCTATTCTACTTCTTCTTACTCGTCCACGCTGCGACTCTAGTCCTCTCGATGTTAAACTCGACGTCGTGCGAGGGGTAAGGAATAAAAAGAAGAAGAAGAAGAAGAGATTACCTCGCGCGGAATAGACGAAGCTCGTACTTCTCCTTTCGGAAACGTTCTCAAGGGTCTTTAACGCTCAAAACGTAGGAAATTTTCGACGATCGTCGTGAAAAGTCGCACGTAGATCCGACAAATCGCGTCATTTCGCACGGAAATTAGAGACGGAAAGCATTGACACTCGAGAAACGTCCGACCCGGTAGCTGTCACCGCCAGTCCCTGAATAATTTACATAATCGCGGCTGATTACCAGCAGTTACCAGGGCTCCCATACATATCTACTCGTTGCCGCGCAGCATCGACGTCATGGTATATCCTTGAGAAATCCCATAAACGTTTTCATAGAATCGATGATTTTCAAGTATCAAGATCAAACGCCCAATCTTCTTATCTCGATCGAAATGCCGCATTTAACGTAATAAATAATCTTTTAGTAATGTCGAAAGCACGATGGTAAAATGTAGATTACCGATAAATTAATGTCTAGACCATTTAAAATGAATCGTTCTTTTCTCGTTGACATATGACGAAGAATTCGCGGAATTCACGATGATTCGTTCGTTCGTTCAATACGAATCATTCATTGATGTTTTGACGTAAGTATGAATCAGAAAGGAGTCACCTGCATCGTCCAAAGATAAATCATCAAATATTCTGTAGAGATTTGAAATTATTTGAAGGATGAACTTAGGACGACCAATGAACATAATTCGCGCGATTCGATTTCTTAGAAGAACTAAGGATAGGATAAATCTATGAACAAATTTTATACCGTTTGTCTCGCTCGTCGATTCGTTTATATATACGAAACAAACTGCCCTTGAAACAATCTTCTTTAAACGAATGAATCTACTATTCGAAGTTCTCTCTCTCTCTCTCTCTTTGTCTGTCTCTCTCTTTCTCTCTTTCTTAATCTCTCGACATTAACAACAGATAAAAAAAATTGCAAGATAGTACAACGACAGCTACGATTTTTTGATACTAATCAAGATCGAGCAATTATTTCAAGATCGTTTCGATGCTTCGAATTTTTTTTTCTATCTACGCACATTTCGGAATATGAACAAACGAAGCTGATAAACTCTGGAATGCTAGATAAAGTCAGCTATAGGACCAGCTATGAGATGGCAGTAAAGTATTAACGCGTGCGTTTCTAAATATTTTTTTTTTCTAGATATATGCTTCAAGGGGTACATGTTGAGAGCGTAAGAGAGGAAAAAAGAGATAGATAGATAGATAGATAGATGAAGAGAACGAGAGAAAGGGAGAGGAGAGAGAGAGAGAGAGAGAGAGAGAGAGAGAGAGAGAGAGAGAGAGAGAGAGAGAGAGAGAGAGAGAGAGAGAGAGAGAAAGAGAGAAAGAGAGAAAGAGAGAAAGAAGGAAAAAGAAGGAAAGAGGGAGAAAGCGGAATTCATCTGACCCACGTAAAATATAGGTTTTATCGGGCCAGAGGGTCCAGCTCGATAAGAACGTCCGAGTGCTATGCGTCAGACTCGGAAGTTGACTCTTTATTTACTAAAAATTGATTAAAATAAAATTATTTATGAAATAGTAAAAATGCGTATCATAATAGTCAATAAAACGCAATGCTTTTATACAGTTTAGGATAATTACGTTTTTTCGTAATGTGTAAGAGGAGCTCTCCAAAAATCATTGAATCACTCTAGAGAAGAAAAATCAACAAACTGGTACAATACGTCTACGATAGATGGCACTAGTAAATATATACGATAGGTTAAGAGCCGAGATCAGTCACCCTGGTTTATGTATAGGAAAGATCGTATATTGGCGCCTTCTTTCCTTTGATATTACCCGAAACGTCGCCATTTTCTCACAAAAACTCACCTTACCTCCTCATTGCCTAAATTACAAATATTATTGTATTTACGAATATATGATAATGATTACAATATAAACGTTAAACCATAAAAGTTATGAATCGAATAAACTACATCAAGTACTCCATATTCCTAACCTCTTTGTTTGTTCTTTATTTAAAGAAATATATCGAATAATACGTATTCTTCTATAAGAATATTTGAATATTCGAAAATGTTCAACATCATTAACGGTAAACGATCGTTTGAAGCATTTTCAATGAAAGCGTGACGACACTGTAACGAATGTAACTTACTCGTGTCATTGTAGATAACACACATAAAAATAACAACTCATTTCATATCACGTTATAATGACAATGAACGAATACAATAAAATATAATAATAATAAAATTACGTACAAAATGGAACGATCAAACGTATTAGCAGGAAGGTCGTCGTCTTCTCGTAGTCGTGCAAGAAAAGTCCGTTGATGAAGAATGATCAAATTGTGTAGATCGAAATGTCGGGTATCTACGTTAAACGAATTCGCATAAAGGCATCCGGAGGCAGAAAGGAATTTGACAAGGCGCGCAGCGATGGAGTGGCGACGCGAGTCGACCGCGTGCCCTTTTTCTGTTTCCTCCTTTTTTTTTTCGGGCTTGGCGGTCGAGGTAAACATAAGCGCTCGGTACATACAGTGGCGCCCCCTAACCGATAAAACGCCATCCAAAATCGCTCTCTCACGCGCGACGACTGTTGTTCTCTCTGTCTTTCTATCTACCTATCACTCTTTCTCACGAGTACACACCACCCTCTCTCTCTCTCTTTTTTCTTTCTTTCTTTCTCTTCCTCTCTCTGTTTTCATCTTTCTCACACGCATGCGAGAATGACACACGGAACTCTCGATCAAACGACCAACAACGACTTCGAATCAAGGGAGTTTCCTTGTTTCGCTCTTTCCTTTTATCTCATTTTCTCTCTCTTTTTCGGGTGGTTCCCTAACCTCGAAAAATGATGACTTGCGCGCGCGCGAATTTCCTTCTTGCCTATCGTGTCGACCTGTGCCCATGCCATGTTACGTATCATTACGATACGCCACGCGCGCATCGTGCACGCTTCGAATATCGTCGGCATGCCTCCGGTGGTGGGGCTATACTGTCCGTGTGCCGAACTCGGACGACCCCTCGCGCTTTATAATTACGATCATCGTCCTTACAACTATTATTTCATTTTACTCACCCTTGTCCGAGTCGTCGAGGTCTTCTTTTTGCATGTAGGATATATCTGAAACCCACAAAACGGCACAAGTTAAAAGAAAATCCCTCGTGTTTTTGGGCAGCCTCGTAGGATCCACAGTCACTCACTCACCCGCCATGTTGTAACAAACTGCGGCGCACTCTAACGGCGCCTCGTGTAATCAATGCCGATAGCTCGCTACGCGATTTTCTCGAAACTATCGACAACATTCGATAATTTGCGAGATAACGTATCTTTTAAAACAATTTTTATAAAAAAATGATAGCGATTTTTCGATCATTATTTTCCTTCGGCTTTTTTGCCCAAATAAATATATACGATATCGTTCTAAGATACATATGCGTGAGTACGCAAGCCTTAATATATTTATGTAACACGTAAAGGCTTCTTTGTAAAGAAAAATTTGGGAGTAGGTTATCGTTGACGAGTACGAATGGATTTTATAAAAAAAAAAAAATTCTTCCAAAGCACATATATAATAAAACATTAGACTTTATATTCCTGCCAAGAATATAATATATATCTTTATCTTTTCCTTCTTGTTCTCGCTTTTTCTATATATGTATTTGTGTCGATATAATGTATACTAAGATATATCAATATTTTACAGTCTCCTATATAAGGGTTCATGTTACAGCATAAAGTTCATTATTTCGTTTCTCTATTTAAGTGAAATATGAAACAATATATGATTATTGTAAAATTTTTATGATGCAAGAGAAAATTGTACATCGAACTATACCTGTCATGGACTTGTGATCCAGTCACTTATCCATTATAAGTGTTTTTTGAATCATAATTTTATAAGAATCGCTAGCAACTCGAGTATGATATAGCCCCTATAAATTTGTAAATATGTGCTAGTTATTTTGATACATTCAAGTTATTGGTAACTGAAAACATGATTTGTAGATTAAAAAATATATGTTTATGTTTGTAGAGGCATATTTTAGAAAAATTCGTGATCCAGTCACAAATTTAATATTTTACATTTGTTTCTTATTATTTTCAAAAAAAAAAACTGCTAGCAATTCGTTTCTAAATTACACCTAATATATCTTTTAAATGCTATAGTGTAGAAAAAAATATGTATAATCTATGTGTTATCAGTTATAATTAGGCATTTAATTAAAAGTATGTTGTAGGTAAAACCCACATAAAATATTAAGCAGATTGATATAAGTAGCATGTGTTACTTTTCCTAAGCCACCAAAGTGAATTAATAATTAATAATAATTTTAATAAAAAAAAAGTTACAGAGAATAATTTATTATTTAAATTATTCAAAAAATTACTTGACCATTCATAATCGATCAGTGAGAAAAAGAATAAATCAACGATAGATGGTGCAGAAATTGTAACATTTACTATTGACGTGATTCTGCATCTTGACTTGTATAGCTTAATTAAAATGTAGTATTATCATTAGTCGTATTAAAAGTCACAAAGGAGAAGGCCTCATAATTATGATAAAGTTTTTGGGAATATTCTATGGTTAAAAACCATAGTTCTCTTCTATCAAAATACTATACTACATATAGAGAATTGCATATAATATCACGACTGTATTCCACATATAGTAGATCTCATCAAATTGAATCCTTTAGACCAATTTTTCTTTACCACATATTACATTCAACTTCACGTTACATCTTTATCTATCCCACCATGGCAGCATTACTACTTCACATAATCTGTTTCATACGTACGTGTATACGTGTTAAGTGCATGTCGTTTATTTTAAACGTTGAATAAAACCAATGTTCATAATAGGAACAAAAGAGACTATACGTTAATAGAGGTAAATAACCTTCTATCTTCGTAAGTATCTCCTGATATCGTCTGAGCATAAAGTAATATAACAGACATAATAAAAATATCTTTTCAACAAATATGGCTTTGCTTGGTAAGTGTCATATACCATCTAAAGCCATTTCATCGATCGTAGCTCTACACATAGGGCATTCAACCAATTGTTTTGAACACGTTTGGCAAAAGCCTCTGTAATAAATATTAATTACGAGGGCACATCAAGTATATATAATAAAAATGAGTAAATAAGATTTATCTTACCTATGATTACATGGTAGTAACCTTATTGAAGCTTTCTGATCAAAACATAAAGTGCATGAATCTTCCCTAACGCTAAGTCTTCTCAAACGATCTACATATATATGTCTGGGCAGCACAACTTTGTCTTCTGGATTTAATGAAGCGTGGTCATTAAATTTCTGATATTCCCTATCAGTAGGAGGATATTTAAAGGGTACATTTCCAAAATTAAAAAGACATTGCTGGAATGACATGAAACTAGCTGCTGCAAAGAATCCAGACCTAACAAAAGGCAAATGAAATATTTTATACGTTTTCATGACTTTGTTTTATAATTCTTTTTTTTTTTTTTTTTTTTTTTGAATTTCAAATGTAAACATACTTCACAGTCTTGAAAACCTGAGTACATGGCTTCAATGGTACTCCATTTATAGAAAATATTATTTCTTGTTTGTTTAAATCCAACAAACAACCTAAAATATCTCCAGCTTTCCAACAAGGTCTATCGTGATATTTTTCACTTCTAGCATTATACCAAATCAGTCTTCGACAGCCATCACAAGCTAATGAGAATTCATCATCTCCTATACCATAACCTTCCTACAGTTAAAAGAAAAAGTGCAATTAGTAATTCAATATTAATTATTTTAATACAAAAATATAAATTTATGGACTTCATACATGATTTAAGAAGGTACTATCTTTTGTAGCCCAACCAATTTGCATTACTCCTGTAGTAATTATAAGAGTTTCATAATACCAAATTCCTGAATCTACTTGAAACGTACATCTTACACTTTCAAATGAATATGCATCACAGCGGGCCTAAAATATAAAAAATGGAAATATTAAATAATATCAATAACTATTATTATTTATAACTGATTCATAACTACCTCTAAACCATTTGGTGATATTTTCAGGTACTCGCTTACATCCTTTGTATTTAGCATAACATTAATACCAGTCATATCAACTGCATCATGAGAATACTTTCTACCTTCCATTAAAACTAGAAAATTATAAATAAATGCATTAATATCATTTATATAAAATAGCGTATATCTATATATATGTGCGTGTGTGTGTGTATGTGTAACCATACATACAAATTTTATTGTAATATTTACATAAATTATCCAGGCACCACTGTGCACAGAAACCCACTTGGCGTCTTACATAGTGAAACTCTGAGGCCCATTTTTCCAGTTCTAATAATGGATTTTGTTTTTCTGCTATAAGGCGTTTCTTAATTGTTATTTTATTTTCACCTACAAATAAATATATATAATATCTGTAATAAACATTATTTAAGATCTCTTTTAGAGATCTTTTAAGATTAATTAAGGTAATAATTAATCATAGAACAAAGCTTACTTGTCTGGGCAAATTTTTCTAAAGCAATTAAAGAATATAGTACCACATAAGGTTCAATATCATCTCTCTGAAATAGTAATTTTTGAAAATTAATATTATTTATACTTAAATAATATATTTAAATGAAAAACAAGAGAAATAACATACAAGATTTGAAATAAGATAATCTAATGTAGCGTCTGATAATATTGCTATACTACTAGGACCAGCCAACTTCTCTGCAATGCAGCCTAATACCACACAAATATTTCGCTGTTGCGTTGGACTGGTTTGTATTTTTCCAAGTCTTTGAGATAATTGAAACATATGTGATAAACGTAAAACAGAATCCTATAAACGAGGAAATGTTAAGTTTGACACTTTAATTATCATATATGGTAGTTACTAATATTTAAACAAACTTTTGAAGGCAAAGGTCCGTCATCTAACAATAAAGTAATAACAGAAGGGCCTAATGGATTGTGCATAGGAATAACGTTTATCATAGAACTGACTACTTGTATCCAACCATCCTCTTTATCCGCAATGGCATGTAATTTTAACATAGCAGGAGGAGGTTCTTGTTCACTGAAATAAAATTATTTCTATGATATATGTTCAAAAATTAAAATAATTTGTAAAAATAATATGATCAATTGTGATTTTATATTAATAAAAAAACGTGCTCACTTATCAACCAAAGATCCAATAACTCCAAGTGTTTCCAGAACAAGCATGTCAATAGCAGTTGATGTTGGAAATTTAAAAGTTGGCGACGTTGTATCGCCAGATACAACTGTGCTTACGTTTGCTTGTGGTAATATAGTATTTTCAGATTCTGCATGATTCTGATGTCCATTATATGTTTCAAGATCTTCTGGAGTGTCTTTACACAAACAATTGCCCATTCCCACAAATTTTATAATTATTTTCTATGTATTATATAACTATGTAAAATGTATATACTATATTTACATAAACAAATAACATGCGTATTTTTAAATTCAATATCCATATAGAGCTAAAAGGAGAAAAAAACAAAGATATTCAGTTTACAATCAAGGAAATAATGATTACGAACAAGGAAGTATTAAAATATTTTATGAATATGAAAGCATAAATACAAAATAATCACCAATGAAATATTAATAAGTAAAGTCATGTCCTTCTATCATTATTAAACTAATGATTTTTTATATATACGTTCTTGATACAACACCCTGTATTACGTTGAGTATATATCCAAGATATAATTAAAGCGTAAATTTTGTAATTAAAATTCCAATCAGTCTTAATCTATTATCAACTTATTTCTATAATAATTCTAAAAATGTAAAAAGAAAACTTTATTAAATACGTGATGAAATCGTATATATGAATGAAATTTCAAACATTTCTGGAGATAAATACGATACTTGCTTTAACTCATTGTTTGGTTGTATTATTTTTAACCACAGTCATGTTTAATTATGTTTACCAACTTTCATGAATTAACCATGTGAAATTTTTGTCTTTAAGAAGCCCCATTGAAATTGAAAAAATAATTTGCAGAACCGTTTTAGTAAGGTTATGTTCTTGATGGTCTCAACAGTAATATAAGTATAGCAGGACTCGAGTAGTCGATGTCTATCCTGCGATCGGTCGTTAAGTAACACTATCAGATAAAAAACGTTATAGTTTTATAACGTCTTATTTTTTTTTTGTTTACGATTTTTATACAATTAATGCATAAATATTCAGATTACTAAATAGAATATCTATATATAGGCAGATATATTTTTATCTATTACTTTGTATTTTCCTTATTCTTTTGTATTTTTTTTCCTTGAAATATTAAAACTTACAATACTTGAAGATACTGGAAAAGACTTCGAACTATGGTATATAATTACAAAATCAATTAATCAGTACATTTATTATATTATTATATCAATTATCGCAAAACTTTAAAATTATATTATTTATCTACGTACAGGTATTTGCGATGGAAAAACTTTCATTTGTACATTGTAGAGATAGACGTCAAAATGAAGATAATCAATTGTAACATAAATAAGATTAATACAAGATAAATGATTAAGAAAAGATACGTTTGTACTTTAAAGTTTTATCAGAGGATTATGCTATTCCGATTCATAATCGTTTTTATACATTCGATAAATATAGAACGTAACAATGCTTAAACTGATATTAAAAATATAAAATTATAAGAGAAGATATTGATCATTAATATGCAAGCATCTACGACCAAAAAAAAAACACAAAGAATCTATTTTATGAAACTCATTTTATTATCATTATAATACTTTGTTAGATTGAACTTAATGACCTCATAAACTGATTTTCTCGTTTATAGTTAACTCTTTTTTCAGCATTTAATTTTAAAAAATCCGCTTGATCATTCTTCGATAATCGAAAGTCGATTTCGTCTATTAAAAATCGAAATTGCGAAGCGGTCGCGGTCCGTCTGGTACTTTCAAGACAAATTTCTTGACACGCATCTAATGCGAATCGTTGACTACTTTTTAAATAATACGAGAATAAAATAATGAGTATAGATTCATTGTATCTCATATATTGATAAATCATTTAACTTGCAAAAGAATTTTGTGAATTCACCGAAGGAACTCTTTTATGAACTACGTAAAAATAATCACATGTAGAAGACCGAAGAGTGTCAACGATCAATAGTATAACGAAAATGAATTGGTGAATATTACCTTAAGTATTCCGTGGAAATCATGGTGTCCGGCGAACACGAGAGATTGTTACCCGAGCCTGATCATTACACGAAATGCTTTTACGATCTCTTTAAAAATGTAGCTGAAGCGCAAAGGTACGTAAGCGCGTCTAACCTCCCATGATCTTTGTTTACCTGTCACTTTTGATGATGCCTTCGAAAATAGTTATCATTCCTTGAGATTTAATTAAATACCTAAGAAAATTTCTTCAGCAATCAGAAGGTTGTATCGTAGATGTTGTTTACCATACGAAGTACGCAATACAACTGTCTTTATTTTTCTTCAGGAATAACCTCAAATGTTTTATTTATATCACCTATGTCAACTGACATTTCTAGTGTATACAAATATTTTTTGTTTAACCTTCATGTTTTATCTCGCCGATCATTTGTGAAGACTGTTATCTAGTGTATTATTAGGAATTATAATTTAATTCTTTTTTAAAAATTGTATTACATATATTTTTCTTCTCTAAGAATATAATTTATTATTTGATATGTCACATATTTCTAGGTATAAGGATGAATGGAAAAAATGTAAAAAAAATAAAGCTGTTAAGAAAAGAGATAAAAAAAAGGTATTATGATTTATTTATTTCTCGATTCATTTCTTTTTTCCTTTTTTTTTTTTTTTTTTTTTAATAATATATTATATTGTATATATATATTTATTTATAGATTGAAGTGGGAGGAGATTTAAATTATAATAATTCTCCAGAGATAGAGGTTTCTTATAATGCATCAGCATTTGCTGTATTCGCTAGTGTTAGAAGTGCCATTCTTGAAAAATATGCCAGAACAACAAGTGAGATTTGCAGAGCATCTAACTGTGGCTCTCCACCTCCAGAACTTAGTGATACGATTGATTCAGAGAGCGATGACGAAGATAGGGTATCAACTATTCAGAGTTTACCAAAGGTAAGAAATATATGATCGATACGTTAACTAATAATTTTTTAATCTACAATTTGTTTTCATAGATTGTAGGTATTGGATTAAGAAGCGTTTTTACATTAATGCGTGAAAGTAAAACCATTGATCCTATGTTATGTACAAAAGCATTAGTAGCCTTATTGGATGTATTACAAGGACAGCTCCCTGAAGGCTTAAAATCTGAACCAGATGATGTCATAGGTAAAAATTGTTAATTAATTAATTGATCTGTGTGAATTTTAATTTAATCAAAATTTATTATATTTTTCCAGATCTTTTATTTGATTTGCTGTTAGATCTTGCAACATCTCATGGCCCTGAATCAGCAGCTGCTAATGATGGTAGTCATTTGACAGCAGTCGCATGCGCATGTCTTTTAAGCCTTGTTGTAGTCAGAGGAGATACTGGTCGTCTTTTGGCAGCGGTAGCTGCTTTACTTATGTGTCCAAGAGCATTAGCAATTCAAAATATACAGGTAAAGTTGTAAAGATATATAGACTTTTATCAAGTCTAAAATATAATCATTATAGATAAATATTTTTATTTTTTATTTTAGATGCCATGTGTATTAACTGCATTGCAAAGAAGTGTACACGCTGTTCTCCTTGGTAAGCTTGCACGGCCAGACTGGATAACATATGGAGTTCCTAAAAATTCTAGAATTTATACATCTACGCTTAAATTACCAAATGATATAAATAATATAGTACTCAATGGTAGAAGTTTTGTGAGTGATGGAAAATACCTTTACTTGCATACAAGTAAAGGATTATTAAAAATTGGTAGTGGACATGGTGGTACAATTTGGGGTCATGTATATGTTCATGAAGCTGATTTTTATCCAACAGAAACTGGATGGCTTGGCTATGCAAAAGTTAGTTATAATTTTATAATTTATCTTGATCTTTTATTACAAGAAAACATAAATATATTTATATTTGATGTTCGTTTTTTTCAGAACTCATTATACTTTAAATGTGCACCAAGAAAGCAAAGTGAATTAGTAATCATAAATGCAGAAACTCTTATAGTGACAGGTATTGCTGTATTGGAAGGACGTGATTGGTCATCTTCTGTTATGTTTTCTGATGGTGAAAATCTTGGAATGATAACAGCTGGCAAAGATGTGAGTATTACAATTTTATGAGTTAATTTTTTTTTTTTTAATTAATTTTAATATGACATTTAATATATCTATTTAGGATGGTTTTGTGGTACGCACGATAAATACATTGAGTAATCCAGTATCATTTGCCTCAGAATTACCATTAAAATTAGCAAGGAAATGTGTAGATATCTTTGGATATGCAGCTTTTGATGAAGAACAAGTTGTACATACATTGAATCTTGGTTGTGATGAGGAAATAGCAATGGTTACAGCAGGGAAAGAATTTGGTGTACTTAAAACAATGTCTGGTAAAGTAAGTACGATATTTAGTATTTATATAACTACTTATGGGTATTGTACTTAAAACAAATCTATTATATTTTCTATAGATATTATATACGGGAAAAGGAACATCTTTGGGTATGAAAAGTAACACAAGGCCTAACAGATGGTTGGAACTTACACTTGGTAAAGGTCCAAGAATTACACATTTTGCTGCAGGTCATGACGGCCAACATGTGATTTTTGTTATGGAAGATGGCTCTGTTTTATTTGCTGGAACTGCCAAACGTGGAGAAGATGGTGATAGCAGTAAGTAATGATTTTAAATTATATTTCAAATATATTATAGTACATTACATTATGTAATCATTTGCATATTACATACTTTTGATGTTTTTACCTCAGACAAAGCTCGTAGACAACCTAAGCCAGTTAAGCCAAAGAAAATGATCAAAGTAGAAGGAAAATTTATCATAGATACTGCTTGTAATAATGGTACAACAGCTTTAGTGACAAAGGAAGGTTCTCTGTTAATGTTTGGAAAAGATACATTGCATTGTGACCCAGTGACAGGCTTAGTTACTGATCTCATAGATGTTAGTGTTGTTCATGTTTCTCTTGGAAAGGCACATGCTGCAGCATTAACTAATAAAGGACATCTCTATACATTTGGAATTAATAATAAAGAACAATGTGGTAGAGACTTCTCGACCGTGCATACAGTGAACAAAGAAACTACAGTAGTCGCTATGGAGATGGGCACAGGAGAAGATGAGCTTATTGTAGCTGAAGAAGGTACTTTTTCTTTTTAATCTTTGTATTGCTTTTTTTATTATTATTATTATTATTATTATTACTATTATTATTATTATTATTATTATTATTATTATTATTATTATTATTATTATTATTATTATTATTATTATTATTATTATTATTAATATGTATTATTAATATAGACGGCACAGATCCTGGAGAAGACTGGGAAGAAACAAGAGGTATGTGTCCACCAGGCCAACATCAATGGAGCCATCGTGTCTGTATGATTTGTACAGTATGTCGTGAATGCACTGGATACAGTATATCATGTTTAAGTACTCGATCAGATAGAAATCCAGGCCAGTAAGTATCTATTAATATTGCCTGAATATTTTTTAATATAAATTTTATTATTGTACTAACTTTTCTTTTTTTTTTACACAGAGAATGTGGCTGTGGTGAAGGTGATAGTGGGTGTGCAGAATGCGGATGTTGCCGTACATGCGCAAGAAAGAGTTGTAATAATGGTAATAAATTCTATTTCTAAAGACACATTTATTAAAATATCCAATGATAATTAGTAAAATATATGCAAATTGTAATTTTTTATTATTGCAATATAGGTAGATCAGGTTCCAATTATCGAGAATATTTACAAAAACGCTTAGGAGAAATAAGACAACAAAGGCAGAGAAGTAAAGCAGGTCCCAGTGCAATGAGATATGGGATGAAAATGAAAGGAGCCAATAATCAAAGATTAGGTAAATTAATAAAAAAGAAAATTAATGGATAAAAATAATAAATATATAATCGTTATTTCTCTCCCTTTCCCTCTCCCTTTCTCTCTCTCTCTCTCTTTCTCTCTCTCCCTCTCCAATCCCCTATTGTGGGAAAAATAGGATCAAGCATCGCTCCAAAAGGAAGTCAACCAGGTAAAATGGCATTAGGATTAGGTAGTAATGTTGCGGGAGAAGAAGTCATTGGCGGTAGCGATGTAGAGAGAGGAGATGCTGCAAGAATAGCAAGTATACCACCAGCTAGAGTTCCTATACCTAGCGATAGTCCTGTGATTCAAGTGTCTTGTGGTTTGCATCATACAGGTAAATTAATGCATATATTTTTAATATAAGTATTTTAAAATATTTTAATAAAATTTTAAATTATATTTGAAAATATATTACATGATACAGTCATCCTTTTACAAAATGGAGAAGTATACACATTCGGAAGCAATATATATGGTCAATTAGGTATCGGATATATGGTAACACATGCTGGCCCAGTTCACGTTAAATTACCTACATTAGCGACTCAAGTCGCTGCTGGATCTAATCATACTGTTGTTCTTACAATAAACGGCGAAGTGTATACATTTGGTGCTTATCAGGTATCTATCGGATATTAATTGCGTCAATATATTTTTATTTACTCAAATCTTATATAACCTATATTTACAGAAAGGACAATTAGGCAGATCAGTAGGAACTAGCGAAAATGAATCTGTAAATATCACTTCTCAATCTAGTCGTCGCGCAGAGAAAGCTCAACCGTGGCAGAGCTTTCCGAGTATAGTTCCGAATATTGGTTCCCGATGGGGTAGACGTGCAACATGGATCGGAGCTGCTGGAGATCAAACATATATAAAAGTCGATGAAATTAATTCGATTAGTTTAACAAGAAGCACTGTAATGGCAAATAAGAATTGCATAAGTATAATCATCTTTAATAACGTTATTGTTATAATAATTATCTGTATAATACTTAGTGTAACTTGTAATAAATTTTTACAGTATTACTTCCACATCAAAATGATCATGCAAACTCTTTTAAATGCTTAGTAATAAGTAAAAGAGATGGGACATGCAATAGTTACAGTGGTAACGATCAAGTGGATTTTAGCAATTATGCAGCATGTCTAGATCCTTTGTACAATGTTATTTGGACTTTTAATCCCGTGAATAATGAAATAAGCCTGTACAACATTATATCTACAGAAGCTAGAACTATATCAGGATTGGAAGCTTCTATACTTAGTCCTGGTTTGGCATTACCTGTAGTACCTACATGTTTTGTAACACGTTCACAAGCAGCAATGCATTTATTAGCATGCTTGGATACACTTACACAAGCACAAGATGAAAATTTAACTATAGTTGAAGAAAATGAATGCGATCAATCGACTCATGGTAAAGTCTATAGTAGAGAAGATTTTGCCACTGTTAGTAGATTTGAAAGTAGGTATTCATTAGTTGTATCGTAATTATAAACAAACAAGTTATATATCTCCATTCATAATTAATTATAATTATTTAGATCATGGTGGAGGTTGGGGTTATTCCGGTCGTTCCATTGAAGCAATTAGATTCATGCCTAACACTGACATACTATTAGGCGGATATGGTTTGTTTGGAGGTCGTGATAAATACACAGCAAAGATAAAAGTAATAAAACAATATTTAAATAAAGATAATATTAAACGATATGTTACATAGTAATTTTTTAATTCATACAGTTATTTGATATTGGAGTTGATGGAGGTGATCAAGAAAATGATGGGGAACTTTTAGCAGAAACAGAAGAGATACCATATGAATGTGGACCTAGACAAAAGTACGCAATTTTATTTGATGAACCTATTGCATTGCAAGCAAACAGATGGTACGTGGCATGGGCAAAAATCGATGGTTCATCTAGCGATTGTGGATCTAGTGGGCAAGGAATGGTCACAGCAGAGGATCAGTTAGTTATTATTTTTTGACATAAAATGTTACGTTATATGGGAAGCAATTAATTTAATTTTTGTTTAAAATAAATATAGGGTCAGATTCTATTTTAAATCATCAAAGAGATCTAATAATGGAACTGATGTTAATGCCGGACAAATTCCACAATTATTATATCGTGTTGTAACACCAGAAAATCAAACGTCCAATAGACAAAGAGATCAAATAGGACCAGTTTATATACTTAAAAGAGAATTTAGTAGAACAGTAACGAAAGTATGTATTTACTATTAGAAAATGAAAAAAAAGAATGTGCAACTGTGCACATTTACTTTTTTTTACAAGTTTATAATGCAAAAACTATATTGATTGCAGGATTGTTTTCAATCTTTAATATCTCTTCTTCAATGGAGTTGGAATACATTAAAGGCAGGATTGGCAGATGTAGCAGTACACATTGCTTCATCGTCTCACGTGTTTCTTGAAATGGAACGTTTAGTCTATATTAGTAAAGCTAGTTTACGACTGCTTAGAATATATACCAATGAAATTTATCCAAATCAAGGTATGTATTTTCGAATATGTGTATAGGAAAATGAAAGAAAAAAAAAAAAAACAAAATATTAAAAATTCGTGCATTTTAAATAGCTGGAAAGAGAACTCCATCAGAATCTGTGCGTCTCGCTGAATGCATAGGCGAAGTACGAGCTTTATTACGTCAAATTTTATCCGATTCAGTACCTTTGAGTACAAAATGTAAAGGCAAAACACGTTCTAACAAAAGTACGTTTTTCTTTTTTACTTATTTGTTTATTTTTTTATTTATGATATAAATATATCGTTAGCGAAGAATAAATGTCATTTTAATTTTTTAATATATAATATATAATGATTTTCTTTATTTTATAGATTCAGAAAGTTTAAATAATAAAATGAGTAATAGTATACTCGAAGAGTGTCATAAAACATTTGTATCATGCTATCACGCATTTTATCCAACCGCATATTTAAAATGGACTTCTTTATGTGAATTATTGTCAGAAATAGATAAAGTAAGTGTCATTCATACATACATACATACATATATATATATATATATATATATATATATATATATATATATATATATATATATATATTTAAACATTGTCGAATTATTTAATATTTTCAGGAACAAGGAGTAACCACGAAAGATCGTCTTCTTTCGGCAGTTGTAGCTTCCCTTTGCAATCCTATGATTCGTCTTAGATGCACGTTTCCAATTTTAACTAATACAATGGACAGTAGTGATGGTATAAAACGACAATTGAGTCCTTCGGATAATGCTGGTTTATTAATGATGAATTCAACAGATGCACATCAATATCCTATTCTCGTTGAACAAATTAGTTATAAATCTCAGGTGGAAAGTTGTGGAAAAGAGATATTGAATTGGTCGTTTCGCGAAGTCCTCGAAAGATTATTAGATTTGATATTGGTACCAGTGAAAAAAAATCTTTGTAGAGAGAAAAGTTATTCTCTATCAGATTTAATTTTGCACTGTTGTTATTTACTCGCCCGTGTTATCGCTGAATTAGCGGCACAATCCAATGGAAACGAAGACGAATTGCAAGGAGCTTATGGTAAACTTATGTATACTACACCTTCGAGATTTACTAGAACAAGTCAAACGAGATCTTGGAATACTGGAAATGGTTCTCCCGATGCCATTTGCTTCTCCGTTGATAGATCAGGGATCTTTATCGCGGGCATTGGTATTTTTGGAGGTGTTGGAGTATACGAATACGAATTAGAATTATTAGAGGATGTATGTAATTTCGAATTTTCTTTTATATATTTATTATTTATTTTAATAATATTTATTATTGATTGTTCTTTTTTTTTCTCTCTTCTTTCTCTTTTTACAGCAAAGTAATACTGGAAACGATCCGTCTCACACTCAACGTTGGACTAGTTTAGATTTTACAAGAGGATCCTTTGGACCAGAAGGTTGTGTCAATGATATAATAGAAATAAAGTTCAATAAACCAGTAGCAATCAAGGAAAACGTAAAGTATGCTATTAAATTGAGGAATCGTGGTGGACGTACTAGTAATGGAGATGGCGGTTTGAGTGTAGTCAAAGGACCTGATGGCACGACATTTACATTCACGGCCTGTTCATTCAGTTTCAATGGTACGACTTCATCAATATAAATTATTTTTCTTTTTTTCTCGCGTGATATTTATCTAATCATGTTTGCGTAGGAACAACACAAACAAGAGGTCAAATACCACACATTTATTATTTTTCAAATCCTCAAGATTCCGATGGTCAACATACTAGTCAAGCGATAGCCGAAGTACAGGCAAGAAAGTGTACCCTTGCCATGACAGCTACGATTATTCAACGTTCTAACGAAATATTTGCATTAGCAAGAGAAAGGGCCGAAGAAGTTACTGCCAGTGAAGTACTTGGTAACGCAGCTTTTGTAACGACTCTTTTACCTTTAGTGATGGCTTACATTAGTCCTTTAGCAACATCAGATCCAAGGGTAAATAATGTTTATTATAATTTTCTTTTTTAATGATTAAATAAAAGCAAAATAATAATAAACATTTTCGATTTCAGAGTGGCGTACAAATACTAACTTTGATACAAGAAATGCTTCCTCACGTCGCAGCTTTAAATTTATTATCCATTATGGGAACATCTCAATTATCGCAAGATAGTGAAACACAACCTCATTTTACTCCACCTATTACCACCAGTCATCATTACACTTGGCTGGAAAGCGATCATCCCTATAAACCTTCTGCAGTGTCACATTATAAAGTTAATTTTCCAGAATCCGTAAAATGGTTAACGATCGAATTCACTTCGGATTGTGGAACGTCACAGCCAGAGGATTATTTACAACTTTACATTCCAAAAGTTATTACATATGCCACGGCTGGGTAAATAGAAACAAAACAAAAAAAATTATATCATTTATATGCGAGTCTAATCATTTGTTTTTGTTTTTTTTTTAACGACATTCTTTTATCTATTCTTTTTTAGTACACATGGAAACACGGTGTCGGAAGACACTTTGTTATATTGGCCGGTATTACATAAAATGAGTAATGTGCAAAGTCAATGGCCACAAAATGCAGTTGTATTACCAGGTAACATATATTAAAATAAAAATTTTAAATATAATTTTTAGGTACATTCTATAATCTTAAATTGAATAATATTTTCTAGGAAACGAAGTAATATTTTCTTTGGAAACTGCATCCGATTATATGAAAAACGAAAGATCAAATACATACGGCTTCAAGTGTTTGGTCATCGGTTATGATTGGATTACATCTGGAAATGGTTTGAAAAATTTAGAAATCGAACTGTCATTTCTTGGTGGAGCATGTAGCGCCAGTTTAATGAAGAAAAATCTTGTTTTACCACCTGTGTCAGGTGGGTTTATGAAAAATATTATTATCTTACTTTTTTGTTTTGAATAAAATGTAATAAATTTTCTTATTTTACACTTTATACGTTTGTTTACAGCGGAGGAAGTACAGAACGATTTCGAGACTATGCAAGAAACAGCGAAGCGGATATTCTCCGTACATTCGATCTTACTCGGACGAGGATTTGCTTTATCATCACCGCCGACGGTATCTCAAGCTCTCGATGGAGTTCTTCCCTTCAGGTAAGTTTAACAAAAATCAATCGATTCGATAAAATTAAGAAAAATGAAGAACTAGAAAGATGTAGTGCAAGAAGATCTTATATATCTCGGGCTCGTTATTATTCCGTTTTGAAAAGTAGAAAATATATTTTTAGACGATCAGTGACAGTAATCTATTCGTTATTGTAGGTTACTATATGAAATGAGTATCAAGGAACACAATGTCGTCTTAGAATTATTTCGAATAATTACTCTCGCCGCGTACTGTAGCATGAGTAGTGACTCATCTAACGAGAGAAACACGCGTCTCTGACAGCTTCATAATCGCGCAATCTCGTCTTGTTGAGTAAACATTAGATGCGAATATCCATGCGAGGTATGGAAAGTTTGCGAATTCTTGACACGTAATAAATCCAAGTCGACGTATTAATTTTCCGTCTTGGGATGACGTACGACAATGTTGTCATTGAAAAAAAAAAAAGAAGAAGAAGAAGAAGAAGTAAAGAGAAAGAAAGAAAAAAAAAGATAAAAAAAACTCGTTCTGGATCGTGTCTACGATAATTAACGCCCGTTATCATCGATCCGACGTGTTATTCTTATCGTACCAGGCAGGTCTCTTATAGTTATGCGCGAGCTCTAACGTGTCCGGTTTAAATATAATCTCAACTCATTTATCGCTTATGTATTTAGCGTGATCTTTATTCTTCATCGTCGATCATACGTCGTTCGATGTAAAACAAATTACATAGTCAGCTGTCGGTATATCACAGTTTCACGATAATTACAACTAAACGGTCATTAGAAAACTTAATTCTCGCCAAAAAGCGATAATCGCTAGACGTATACTCGCATAGGTTCTAACATGCGCGCACATGTACTCCAAGTTGGAACATTGTTCATGCTCGCAACTGACGTTAATAGTATATCTATCTTGAGATTTCCTCAAGGCTCAAGGTAACGACTCGACGAAGGTCGTCGCATACAATAATCTCGGAAGCTTCGAGGCCCAATTTCTGCGCGTGATATCGCTTCAGGCTAAGAGAAACTATCTCTGGAATATCGTTAAAAAGGGACGAGTGCGCATTAATAATGCATGGATTCTCGCCCAAGTATCAGATGATAGCTTTTACAAGCCTAAAAGAATCAACATCTTTTTTCTTTTTACCGGTTGATCTTATTAAGATCTTCTTTTAATACGAATTCGCATCTTCGAGTGTCATTTTTACGAATTAATTCCTCGAAAATAGTGCTTCCTATCTTCCCTATCTTCTTTATTATCTTCTCTCGAGTCTTTGGTCTCGAGAATATTTAAGCGACTTTAATATGGCTTGCTTATTTAATTATTCAATGAAAACAAATGAGATTTTATTTCGGCGTTTATAACGTTATTGAATCTTGGAAGAGGAACGATTTTAGGTGAATTTATTTTTCGAGTTTTTGCTACGTTAATCTGTTTTCATGGAGAATACATGTGTAGGCAGTGTTTATATGTGAAATGGTTCGTGAATCTTTTCGTGAATCGTACATTTAATAATTCTGACTGGGATACCTTTAGAATTAAAAATCGAATGAAAAATTACGAGAGATTAAGTTAGTGAAAGATTTTAGCGGTGGTCCTTCCTTCGTTCCATCTTTTGTTCGTTCCTTCGTTCAATCGGGACGAATTCGTGCCTTTGAAAGTTACGAATGGAATATCAAATGAAGAAACACATCTCACTGTTTTCTCGTACAACTTGAATGTGGTTCGTCGTCTTCTTCGTAGATAACCAACCGCCTCTCGAAAGCTACCTAACGATATAAACTTAACTAGCAACGACGACCGATTAACCGTCCTCGTGACCTCGATCGGAAATCTCTTTATTGCCGAGAGGAACGTGACCGCCTCATAGTAAGTAAATAAGTAAGAAAGAGAGAGAGAAAACAATAAGAGGGAGGAGATCGAAGGAATGAGAGGGACACGCTCGGATAATCGGTACTCGTGCTTTTGGTGATATGTTAATCGGAAGCTTACGAACTTGCCTTGTACTAATAGAGAATGCTCGACTAAATGAATTCGAGAGTGAATAGAGTTTTGACATTGATCGTTATTCCAGGACGTAGGATTACGTCAAGGACATTATAGTTTGTTTTTTTTTTTCATCGCAGAACGCTTATCTCATTATCGACTTATACATATAGATATCTTTTTGTTTATCGCGTAATAATACACGTACGTAAACGTGAAAAAAGTTTGAGGAACCCGCAAAGAGGTACAATAGCGTTTATCGAAAACGTTCCGTGTTCTTCTTTTTTTTGTTTTTTTTTGTTTTTTTTTGTTTTTTCCTTTGTTTCTTTCCTAAATCATTTAAATGAGAAGGAAGAAAAGTACGCGCACAAACACATACTCAACAACGTTCGTCTCTTCTTTATCGTTGTTATTTACTTCTTTATTTTCTTCTACGATACGTCGTATCAAAGCTTGTACACTCGAAAACGACAGGAAGTGTTGGTGGTGGTGGTGGTGGTGGTGGTGGTGGTGGTGGTGGTGGTGGGGGTAGAAGACGAGCCCGACGGTTCCATTTTACTTTGATGATCCTCGAAATGATGAATTCGATCGTTCGTGGAACGTGTCGAGTCGTACGAGGCTTCTCGTTACAATTCCGTGGTCAAGGGTTCGGCCTTTTCGACGATTACGTGAAACTCAGTTTCCCTGTAAAGTCTCCCATCAGGCACGACCATAGTTATTCTGCTGTCTACCGGTGTACCAGACGTGGCCGTTTCTCTACCGATTACACCGTTCTTCTTCGAGACGACATCCGGTGCGTTAGTTGGCACGCTCATCCATCGTTTTCTATCATTCCTACGTCGTCTTTTGCAACACCAGACGATCAGACACGCAAGGATGAGAAGGGTAACGAGAATTCCGACTATGACGAGTATAAGTACGAGCATTGATCCGCCGAGAGAGCAATGTCGTGCCTCGTAATCGCTAAAGCTCGCTGTAGTCGCGTCCTCTGTGTGGCCGTCCACGCAAAATAGAAAAGTTTCTGGAGTTTCGATCGAATCTTGGGATGGTAAAATCGGTGGCATCACCGCGTTTTGTCGCATGTAGAATCTCGAATATATGTTTGTATAATTTAGAACGTTATTTCTCCACAATGGTAACATCTTGCAATCGCAGGGCTGTTTTACCAAGAGATCGTCAAGTTCTGGACGAAAACTCGAACGATCGAACATTAGTGAGCCTTCCTCGAACGTAGACATGCTATTGTTCTTAAATATGAGGTCGTGTAGATTCGCAGAAGAGGAGGAAGCCGGTGGTGGCCTCGTTTCTGGATCCGCTCGTATACCGAGAAACGCGCCAACGGCTAGACTACCAAAGGTGTTATTCTTTATTATTACGGCTCCTCGGGCCGTTACATCAAAGGCTTCGCTCTCGAGACCATTGATCAAACAGTTTTGAATCGCAACGGTACGTGGACTTCGAACTATGAATGCCTCGCTCCTTACCATACCCATTTTGACACCGTCAAGCATGAACTTGTGGTGTACCTCAATGTCGTTCATAGTACGACTCGGTACTTGCTCTCCGAAACTACCACCGATCACGTGCAAGTATCCCACGTCGAACTTCTTGAAGGATTGCGCCTCCGTACTCTCGATCTGACAATTCTCCAGCCTGAGGGTATCCGTGTGAAAGAGATTCGCGAAGGCGAATGCGCTCAACTGACCTATCCTCACGTTCTCGAAGCTTATCGCTTCCACGTCGCCACCAAACACGAAACTAGGAAGCACGTCGATGCTGCAGTTCCTTACGGATATCCTTGTGCGCGCGCTGCTAAGCGAAAGTTTGAAGCTATGCCGGACTAGGCTGAGATTTGCCACGTTTACCAGATCCACAGATCGTAGACCAGCCATCGATGTCAAACTCGAGTTCGCTACAATCACGGACGAGCAATTGCTCACGACTATCCGGCTTGTGTGCGGACTCAACTTCCTGTCGCTTTCCGTGCTCAGTATTAATTCCTGAAACAGAAATAACTTTTGTCGAGAAATGTTTTACAGAAAAATCACGGGTTATCGATGGGGTATAACTTTTAAAGGAGATTCGATTGAGGATCCGTCAATTTTCTTTCTCTCTTTTCCTTTCTCTATCTATCTATCTCGTTTTTTGCTTCTTTTAACGAGAAAAGAATGAAAAGGGTAGTTTACACTCGATTTGGTACAATCCGATACGTCGGATCTGAGGCCTCTTAATAAGGGTCGAATAGCCATAATTAGAAGACTAACTACCCTAATTGTTAGCGACGTGTGCGCTCCTTCTCTATTAACGTATACCGCATCAATTTACGCAAGTAAAATGTTATCATATAATCGGATAAGAAATTAACATTTATTGCTATCTGATATTTCCTCGACACAACTTTCTGTCATATCTATAATAATATATTTTTAATGATATTGCGCGTAATCGGGATTTTACTTTTTCTTTCACGTGTACCAACGATCATGAATGTTAAAATTGATCGAATCGTATCCAACTAGGACAATTTAAAATTCATTTGAAGTCGAGTTAACACTCGAACGAATAACAGATTTATTCGATCAGCCGTAACACGGAAAGTCAGGTGCTTCAGAACAGGTAAACCTGAACTCGAGTGTTCTTCTTTTCTTCTACTTTTTCTTTTTCTTCCTACTTTTTCTTTTCCCTTTATGGGGTACACAGTATCGAAGAGATCACATTTCATTAAGAGTTCCTAGAGTAAAGTCTCTTGGGGCTTACTCTCGTAAAGAGTTGGTTTTAGTCGACTGCCACTTCGAATACCATGTTTGTCAAACAATCGGTCAAGAAGGAACATTCCTTGCATACTTCCAGCACGATTAATCCATCGACAAAGGAGCCGATATATCGATATCGGATTATGCGCGTGGGTAGTCAGTTGGTGTTGTCTCTCTTTCGCTTTCTGCGTATACACACACACACACACACACACACACACACACACACACACACACACATACATACTATATACGGGGTTTCCGATATATCATTCTCATGCGTGCTAATGTACGTAAACGCACGTTCGTGATTCCCGCGTAAGCGTTTATCGCACCAACAGGGCTCGATAATCGATCGTTTCTAGAGAAGGCTTCTATTCTATCCGCTTCTATCGTTGTTGCTCTTTGTAACGCGAACCTACGACACACGTTTACTACAAGAAATCGGATTAGCGAACCGTCTAACGAATTATTATACTCGACTTGTCGGATCATTTCTTTCTTTTTTTTATTTCTTTTTTATTTTTCTTTTTTATTGTTTTTGTCTTTAGCCAAGAAGATGCTATGAGAAAGTCTCGGGTATCTAGTGTAACACTTGAAATATGTACTAGCAAAACGAGGACTGACCGTATTTCCTGTCCTCTCTCTCTCTCTTTCTCTCTCTCTCTCTCTCTCTCTCTCTCTCTCTCTCTCTCTCTCATATTTATCTCTTCTTTCTTTTTCTCGAAAGAAAGACGTTCAAATTTCTCATCCTATATTCTTCTTCATAATCCTTTTCCTTCTTACGATTTTTGATATTAAAGTATAATCTTATTTCTACGTTCTCACGTAAAGGTTAAGAACATTTTGCGTAAAAATGATATCGGGGAAATTTGAAAATTAAAGAAAAAAAAAGGAAATGGAAAGTGACCAGTCGCGAGAGGAAAATGAGAACGAAATGGATAAGAAGACAGATACGTTAGAACGAGGTAGAGAATGCCGTAGTAGTAGACGAAACGGAGAATGGTCGTGGGTTACTATGACGGAGAAAGAAGATCTAGAGAGTGTTTTCAATGGGAGGAAAGAGAGAGAGGGAGAGAGAGAGAGAGAGAGAGAGAGAGAGAGAGAAAGAAAGAGAGAACGTACAGAGTGCGGAATAAAAGACGCAGCTCTATGCAGTACGTCTCTCGATGAAAACGAAACCTTTGTACTTCTCTCGTTCTTTTTTTCTTTTTTTTTTTTGTTCTTCTTTTTTTTTCTTCTTCTTTCTTTCCCTTTCTTGTTTGCAAGCACCGTAGTTTCTACGCATTACCATCTTGATCCGGTGCAATCTCTCTTTTTCTCTCGTGGATGCTCGTGTGTCCCTTCCTGGCTCGTTTCGACCTTTGTTCTTTCCGCATTGTTCTTGGCTAGTTCTCGTCGTACAATATCCGAGCGAGCGCAAGTTCTAACCGTTATGGATTTTCCTTTCAAAAAAATTTGTGCTCGTGGATTTCATTAATTAATTCAACGTCCGTGAATCCTCTTCCCCTTTCCCTCTCTCTGCCGTGCCGTGCCGTGCCGTGCCGTGCCGCGTCGCTCCCTCTTCTCCATTACCTTCTCTCTCTCTCTCTCTCTCTCTCTCGCTTCCCCTTCCTCCCCCCCCGTCTCACTAATATTTTTCTCTCTTACTCTCTTGAGAAAGAAACAACGAGCGTGGGTGATGTATTTATCGTCGTACGGCTTTTGAAATTTTCGTTGAAACGTAAAAGAGGTAAGCGTATGTTAAAGGCGAAGGATCCATTAAGTAACGTTAGTGGAAAAGTATCGTATCGTTAGGTGTGTACCGGGTGTCTCGAAGCACAAATTTGTAAGTACGGGGGTAGGTGGATGCAGACAGGCCAGGGTCATTGTCGTAAATTTCAAGGGCCGCACCGGGAATCTGAATTTTATTTCCCAACAGTTTTGCTCTCCCACGAGAGAGGCAACCAGAAAGAGTACGTTTAAGAGAAAGAGAGAAAGAGAGAGAGAAAACAAGAGAATGGGGACACCGATAAATACATGAGCGTTGGAGAGAAAAAGAGAAAGAGAATAAGGGAGGGAGAGAGAGAGAGAGAGAGAGACCGGAAACAAGAGAAGCAAGATATTCTTTTTTAACGTCTCGTCTTTATTCTTCTCGTTCTTCTCTACCTCTCGCAGTCGCGTGTAATTTTATCGAGTGAGTTTCGCGTATTCTCCAGACATTTTCGCTTGTCGTACGGAGTAAAGTGAAGAAGAAGAGAGAGAGAGAGAAAGAGAAAGAAAAAGAGAGAAGAAGAATAAACGAGGAAAGAGAGAATGAGAGAATGAGAAAGAGAGAGAGAGAGAGAGAATGAGAAGAGGGGAAAGGGGATAAAAGAGAGGAGAGTATCGCGTCGAAGGTGTGCTTCTCGATTACTCGGAGCGATTCCCATCGGGAACGCCAGCAGAGTTCCTTTGAAAGGTAGTTCGATGCTCGGTAGCAACGTTCCCAAAGCTTCTCGCGTCGCGTTCTTCTTTACCCTCGTCGTCTTTTCTTCTTTTACTTCTATCCCTTCTCAGGGAACGTTCCCACGATGGATGTAGTACTATCATTCGTTTCTATCATTTCGAAACGTTCCCTTTCGATATGATGTTCGATGAGCAACGTCGATCGTCCGGCATAACGCATAGTCGAGAACACGGAAGTCCGCGATCTCCTATTTTCTTGATTGCCGATTGTATTTTATCTATTTTTCATTCTTTTTTCCTAAGCTTGTCTCTCATTTCGTATGCATACCGAATCAAAGAGTTTTTCTTCAACGACTACGACGTCGATGACGACACGACGACGACACGACGACGACGACAACGACAATGACAACGACAACAACAACGACAATGACAACGAAAGCTTTCACGTCGAGTAACAAAATGAAAATGCATTTCAGTTGTAACGATCGAATCGGAAACGGCGAAAATCTCCGTTCGTTGAGGGGCGAACGTTCGTGCGGAATAATGTACCTATCGGACGAGATGATGAAGAGAAAGATAGATGGACAGAGGAAGAGAAAGAGAAAGAGAGATATGAGAATGGAACGAAAAGCTCTTTTACGATCTATAAAGGATTTATACGAAACAATTTCCCCGTAGGGGCAGATTCGCTCGTGAGAGTTCTGCCCATCGTCGACCATTATCGCGGTCTCCTCGCCGCGTTCATCGGCTTCAGTTCCCTTTTCTCTCTTCTCCCTTCTCTCTTCTCTATCTTTCTCTTCCATCAACCCATTTTCCATACGCGATTTCAAACGCGAACCGATAGAGGCAATAATTAATCTCGCGTATGAAGTTATTAATCAAAGATCACCGAGTTCTCGTTGTCGATTGTCCGTTATCGATGTCCTTGGTTATCGGTCATCTCGACTCAATAATATTTCTAGAGCGTTATCATTGTTCTTCACACCATGCTATTACATTTTTCTCTTCTCTCTCTCATTCTCTCTCTACTTTCTCTCTCTCTCTCTCTCGCTCTCTCGCTCTCTCTCTCTCTTTCTCTTTTTTTCTCTATTCCACTTAAATTCCGTGGTTTTATTTCTGGTGACCCTTGTGATGAGCTAGACGAGTAAGTTTAAGACCGTATTCGCTAAAAGGCACATTCGATTATTTACGTCCTTGTCAATTATTCAAAAGGGGATCTTAGAACTGCGCAAGAGAATACGGCGCATGGGTTGATACTATATCTAACTCGTTCACGAAAAAGAGATAATACATACGAGTTGTGCTGGTTAAAGCACGGAAATTCGATAAGTTTAAATGATTACCAGGCACACGGACGAACGGTGGCAACATCCGGTAGTTTATTGGAATCCGGAAACACTGGGAATATCGGTCGAGGTCGATTACAAAAGCCTCTTTTATTAACCTCACCCGTTTTCCAAGCGTTAACTCGTCGTTGCGAAACTCGAAAGCAGTCTGAAAACTTGAAAATTTATTGCCACCTTTTATAAACCTTTTTAAACGTTCTCCCTCATTCTTCTTTTCTTTTTGTAATTCTTTTCTATTTCATAAAAATCAAAGTCGAATGATCAATGGGATCGAGTAATTAGAGGGTAGTGCGCGAAGAAATAAGAGAAGGTTGGATTCGATGCTTTCGAAAATCGGTGAGGGGGGAGGGCGACAAATTAGCAATGCGTACAATACGTCCTGCTAAATTATATGGAATCCGCGATAATTTTCGCGGTTTATATATCGCATACATTATATATTTCATTTCTTTATTTTCCTTTGAACGAGTAATTTTATCGAAATGAACAAACGTTATTTGGCCAAAAATTTTTCCAAAACGATTTTTAAACATCCCCGTTAAAATTATCCATATCCTTTTCGTTTTGCATACGGTATATATATATACCGTATATATATATATATATATATATATATATATACATATATATTACGTACATTAGTAAGTACTGGTAAGTACAAAGGGAAATAAATTCGGGCGTATCATCGTACTTTCAAGCATTCATTATACTTGCATCTAGTCATAGTCAAACATCTCTTGTAAAGCGAAGCGTTAGTAGGTAATTCATGAAATGGAAACGTTTCAAACTTCTAGATGGTACGGTTTGTTCGTTGACCGACGAATTGGGGCATCCTCTTACGACGCGAATTACGTCATTTGAAATCAAATTCCTTTTTTGTTCGAAAAATAAAAAACGGCAGAAGACGAGTTTACGAACTGTATTCTGTTATGCAATCCAATTTCCTATCTGATCTTTCTGGATTGAGTAAAGTTATCGATTCATTTTTTCGTTCAATACATTTAGATGTTGTTAATAATTATTTATATCATTCCTTTTCTCGCATGAACTCGGTGATACGACGCAACGAAACCGTGGATTACTATGATGGTGCAATATTTTAAGGAAGCAAGAAAAAAAAAACAGAGAAAAAAGATAAAACAAAAAGGGGTGTCTACTTTTGTCCAATCCGATTGGTTTCCACAGTATAAAACGTTGCCCTCACTTGCGGTCATTTCGTCACGGGTACGGCTTTTACGGATCGGGTTTACGGCGTTTCCAAAGCACACCACGTGTATTCTACATGTTCTTTGCTTGCATTATACGCCTCTCTGTACGTTGCACTTGCATACATACATACATATATATATATATATATATATATATATATATATATACACATATATACATACGTGTTACGCTTTACGTAAAAGACAAAGAACGTTTTGTTGCGAACAATAGCGATGATGGTAGGATACACGACGGAGAAGCGCGATAGTTTACATTTTTGAAGAATGAAGATTATGTTGCCTTGATAATGATAATAACCTAATGCTGTGTCTTTTTTTCCTTAGGGCGTTAATAGAGAATACCATAGTTTTCTCACAAAGTCCGCGTTTTCATTAATCGATCTCGCTTATATACTTTACACGTTTTACGCTTATCCTCCTATCGTGATTATAACTAAAATATCACGACGTTTTCCCTCGTTTTTTTTGTCCTCGATTTCACGCGACTACCCCCTTATAATAATGTCTTTTTACGACGATATTTGGAGTGCCACGATGGGAAGCTTTGTCGGGGCTTGGCAGGAAAAGCTGTAGCCATACGAGCTCGTGACCGCGATCCTTCGACGAGTACTGCTATTTTTCTCCGTACGCAGCAATTTTCTTCCGTTGGGACAGCTACGTATTCGTCCGGCGCGATAAATATTCTAACGTGGCTATATGCCGAGCTGAAGAGAGCGTGGCTGGGAAGGGAAAAGGAAAGGGAAGGGAGGTAGAAGGGTGAAGGGAAAGAAAACGCCCTCGGCACACACCTTACCTACCTGCCACTCGTGTCGGCCCCGCGATTTGCGTAAACACGTTCTAATTTATAGCGTATAGGGTAGCGTCGAGCCCTGCGAGAGAAAGAGAAAGAGAAAGAGAAAGGGAACACTGTGCAATTTACTCACATTTTCCTCAGTTACAAGCTCTTGCTTTCTAGTTTTATAACGTTGAATCTTTTAAAAGCAGTTCGCTTTCGAAAATGAACATTACGTATTACGTTGTTCTAATATTTAATCATTGAAAGTTCTTCGCAAACGGGGAAATGTGATTTCCCGTTGAATTTTCTTTGAATATAACCGAGAAATTTTTCCTGAGTTATGAAGGGGAAGGTGTAAAAGTGTGGGTGGAGTATCAGAGAAGAAAGGATGTTTTCGTTTCTTTAGGGATCCTATTTATACCCTTATCTAGATTCCGATAATTCGGGGTTGGGATAAACGTTCACGGGGAACAAAGCACTTGGAGTCCAACTGGAGTTTGCGTCGTATTCGAGATTTTTCATGAGATAGGATCGCGGTTTCTTGAATGGATTCTCTTTTGGAAGGAAAAGGGGGAGAAGGAGAGATAAGCAGAGGAAGAAATGGTTCGAAAAAATCGAAGGGAAAGTGGTGACAGATGCAAAGAAACTAAACGAGAGGATACGAGGAAATGAAATTGTTGAGACAAATCGACTTAAATAAGAACGACATGAGAGGTATTCATTTATGAGAAATTGACTTTTGAAAAAATTTCATTTCCTTCGGTCCTTTTTTATTTTCTTTAATTTAACTGATGATCTTTTTTCGTCACTTCCCATTTCGATATATATATATATAATTAATAATATATATATATTATTAATATATATAATAATATATATATATATAATTTTTATAACGTTTCACGAATTATTGTTTTTTGGCTAAATCAATGGATTCGATAAGAATTTATTTTCTCTCGAGCCGAGAAAAGAACCTTACCTCTCCTTCCTCTTTGCAGTCGCAGGTCAACCTGCCGTAGTGATCGCAGGAGCAGGGCGAATAGTCGCACCTGTTCGTCGAATTCGTCAGGACACCTTTCATCAGCAAACAGCTCCAAAAGAGTCCGAGAATCGCACTACCGAGCACGAATTTCGCTGCTCCCATTTTGTGCCCCTCCCTTCCTTCCTTCCTTCCTTCCTCTCTCTCTCTCTCTCTCTCTCTCTCTCTCTCTCTCTCTCTCTCTCTCTCTCTCTTTATTTCTCTCCCTCTCCCTCTCTCTCTCGCCCTTCTCTTCCTTCACTTTTCTAGCTGCTTTCTTTACATCGTGTGTCCGAACCGAGACGGATCCATAAAGAACCGAGTAACGCTACGAAAAGAGTTTTCTCCTATTTCGAAGATCAAATTTTTCTTTATCTTTTTATTTCTCTTTTTGAATCTTTATCAGTCCTTAGCGTTTCGTGGCGTACGTCAAAGAGCCGCCACGAGCAATACTACGTTATTCTGTCGGTCATATTTCTTGGAAAATCTCATTCTTTCCGATTTTTCTACTGCTCTTAGCATCCCTCGTTTTCCGATTCTTCAAAGAGAGATCCATGGACCGATTAAGTTTAAGGAGTTCCCACTTCGATTCCTCTTCGGTCGATCGTCAAAATCCAATTAGAACGAGGAAAACTTACGGCAACGTAAGATATCATCGCGAGACTCTTGCGTCAGGCGTTCTCTTTCGGGCTCGGCCAGTCTGACGATATTTCTTCTCTGGAAAGATATAAAAGTGATAAAGTTTTCGTCGTAATTAATCGTGCGAGAGAAGGAGGAAATTCGACGACTCTTTGTGATCATACGCGAGAACACGTTTCAGATCTATTTTCAATAACAATAATACGAGACGTAGAAACCTTCGAATTAAGCGAATCGTTATCGCATTGCGCAATACGTAAGTGTGTGTATCTTCGTTGGCATAATATTATCGAGGATGGAAGTTCATTCTCCTGGGATTCGAGCGAGCATTATTGGTAACGTACGTACGTACGTACGTATGTATGTATGTATGTACGTCGAAAGGAAGATAACATCCGTATATTGATAGACGTTGTCTCGCGATAAACGGGAGAGTATCACGTGGAATCAATGACACGTGAAAATTTCTCGTAAAACTCTCCCGACAAACAACGACAAAGCTTTTAATCTCGCGTGAGACAAAGCTTTCACGAAGGTGCAAGCGAGTACGATATTGTGACCAATTTCAAGCGCCAAAATACGTTGCTCCGTTATCAGAGATTTCTCGTTCGCTATGTGACGCGGTTCCTGCGTTTGTCAGAAGTAGGTTACTCGATTCCGCGTTAAATGTCGGTCGGACGAACGACGAACCTTGCAATTTCAACGAGATCCAGAGGAGTCGTACGAAAATTTGATAATATTGACGAGCTCGTATATACGCGAGTATGTATATATGTATGCATGTATATATATATATATATATATATATATATATATATATATATATATATATGTACGTTGATTTTAGATTGCGTCTAGAGAGAAAGCCTCAAAAGAGAGAAAGAGAGAATAAAAGACTCATCTCTGTTTCTCCTTTTATTTTTCTTTTTTTTCTGTCTTTTTTTTCTTTTTAATTTCATCATCCTACTACTATCCACGAATCCTTTAACGACATGCACATACTACCGCGATACCATTGCACTTCTTGCGCTTATCTAATTTTTGTTAATCCCGTTTAATATTTACCACGGGAGTTCACGATTCTAGGATTCGGCTAAGTAGAATTAGCATTACAAAGAGAAAGGAGTAAAATATACGAGCTGGAGTAATTTTCCTTGCGTTCTATTTTTCCTCGCGTCTACGTTCCAGCGTACATATCGACGTAATATTTTGCAAATATTCGCCCTTGTATTTCTTTTATTTTCTTTTCTTTTCTCGACGTTACATACTGACGCGTGCTTTAACTTACGGAACGAAACGAGTTCTCGAGTTTCGCTAGCGAGCAGAACGAAATTTATTTCTCGCGGTAAACCAATCAATGCGATTATACTCCTCGTGATCTTGCTTTGTACGCGGATAGTAAGTACAAACAGTCTACGAACGTTCTCTTTGTTGTTATCGGTTGATCGAACGAACACAACGTATGTATATGTTCATCGAATGTCCGAGCAACGAGTACGTAAAAATACGGTGTCCTAATCGTATCTCGTAAAACACGCCTTGTTACCGAGACGTCGCGTGTCCAAGACTTCTTCCATTTTTCTTCGTTAGAGGGGTAGACAGTGAACGGAAGAGAGATAGAGATAGAAAGAAAGAGAATACAACGTTGTATTGCGCGAGCACGCACGTGTCGTCCACTTTTTTTTTCTTTTTCTTTTTCTTTTTTTTTTTTTTTACAAACTTTGCGTGTCCGACAACGCGTCCATATCTTTTAAATAATTTTCCCTCGATCTCGATTAATTTCGAGACTAAGTTTTTAAGAAAGATGCATAACCGAGAAGCCGATATTATCCTTGTTTTCATATGAAAAATGAGTCTTCGTTTTTTTTTTTTTCTTCTTCTTTTTGGATAAGCAAGAAGAAGGTGGTAATACGGAAGAAGAGGATCGCATCGGTGCTCGTGAAAAGAGGGCGAGAATGAGAATGAAAGGCGCTTCGATTCAAAGCGTGGTGGTGGTGATGGTGCGCGGACTCCAAAAGAATTTTCCTTTTAGTTCGAGCCCTCAATCCTCTTTCTTTCTTTACTTTCTTCCTATATTCTCTCGTAGACAGCCTCTTAATTTCTTCCTGTTCTTTTCTCTCTTTTTCTCTCGCTCGACTTCTCTCTATTTTCTCTCTCTCTCTCTCTCTCTCTCTTTCTTTCTCTCTCTTGCATTTAGTTTGTATATAACCAAAAAGAGAAAGAAAGAAAAAGAGCAGAGAAGGATCGTCGAGTTTCTCTCGTATTCTGATTAATCTAACGAGCTGAGCGTAGTTGCGATACCAAAGAATTGAAGGACATTAATGCCTGCTCTCATTATGCCGCTCGCAATTATCAGCGTGTATTATGACGGTTCCTCGCGACTAAGGATAATCACTCACACGAGTCGAGTTTGTTGGTATGTCGCGTAGGCGTGCGACGACCGACCAAACGAACGGTACAGACATGCCGTCGCCGCCACCACCATAACCATCACCACCACCACCATCACTACCACCATCACCATCATCACCACAACCACTACCATTGTCGTAGTCGTTGTCGCCGCCGCCGCCGGCTTTACTCGCATATTTTTACGATCTCGTGAGTTTACAACGAAAGATTACGCGGAAATGCGCGAGGACTCAACGAGCGAACGAACCATCCATGTCATTGTCGACGTCATCGTAGCCGTCATCGTCATTGTCGGCGTCAACAAAAGAACAAACATCGACTCCAGCTGCTCGTTAACGAATATTCCGCAATTTTCCATACGAGAAATCTCGTCCGTCCTTTTTTTTTCTTTTCTCTTTTTCTTTTACTTTTTCTCTTTTTTCGACAACCACGACGAGTTCGAAGAGTCTCGGAGTGAAACGAATGCTTCTCTCCCTCCTTCCCCCCTCTCTTTTTTTTTCTCATTCATTCACGCGTTCTTTACCGAAAACGATAGCGACAGTAGCCACTTTAAATGAATTACAACGAATCGAGTCTGCTTGACGATAATGTAATTAAGCAAGCAGCAGCTTTAAAAAGAAACTTTAAAGAAGCACCTTTCTTTTATTCTCTCGTCTTTGTTATTCGTAATTGCTTCGGCGATAGAAAATGGTGCACTTAACTCCCGTACACACACACATACACACATATACACACACATTCTTTATCCTCGAAAGAAGTCGTTCCTTTCGAATTGGAACAACTTTACGACGACTAACTTGGCCGGCGATCGTTTTTATCTTTCCTCTTTCTTTCTCGACAAAGAAGATTTTTCTTTAACTCAAAGAAACACTCGTAATGACCGTCGAAGAATCGTCTCGTTCTTACGATCCGTCTTCGTCCTCAAGTAGAATACGTTAACCTTCTCGAAAAGGTTAAGAATTATTATGCACGTACCTAGTCGAACTTTGAAATTCGAATACTATTGACAAAAGATCGCGGCCATTTTTTTTCATAGAGTTTTAACGTGACCTAGAGAATTGTACTTTCTCTTGATTTTCGAGTTGGGTTGTTCAAGGGCGGGTTGGGGGGGGGGAGAGGGGGAAGGGAGGGAAGATCCTAACGATCTAAACGCGCGGTTGGACTCCACGAGGATAAAAGTGGGTTCCGAGTTAGCTCGAACGAGTAAACGATTAATGGGTTGATCGCTGAGGTATACGATTGCGTATAACAGGTCAGCTTATAAACTTGCTTCGAGCACAAATCTACGATATAAATTCCGGAAATAAAAAAAAAAAAAGATAAAAAAAAAAAGAAAGAAATAAAATTAAAGAATGAGAGAAAACGCGATAAAATACGCGATGGTATTATACGAAAGAGAATAAAATGAAAGGGAAAAGTTTGGGCAAGCGTTTTTTTTTCTTTTTTCTTTCTCTTTTTTTTTTCTTTTTTTTTTTTTTAAAGTTGCGCAGTAAAATAATTCAATCTTTCGTTCGCGGACGATTAAATATTTCGTGGCTCGTTAATGGATATTCATATATTCGAACGTGGCGTTCTCCTCTCTCTCTCTCTCTCTCTCTCTCTCTCTCTCTCTCTCTCTCTCTCTCTCTCTCTCTCTGCTTCCCGGTTTACCAGACCCCTTTGTTTCTCGATACATGTTGCACCACCCTTCCCCCCAATCGCATCTACGCTTCTGCACGTACGCGAATGATGCGAGACTGAGAGACACGGAAGTAAATCGTTTCCGATTACGTGACTCTTCTTTAAAACGACGACACTACTACGATTTTGCGACAAAAACGGGTTGAGAACCGGCCGTTTCATTTCGAAGTAGACGACCATTTCCATCCCTCTGTACACTGCACATCTATCCCCTCCACTACATTCGGTATATAAGTATTCTATTCCTCGAGGATGGCAACAATTTTAAGAAGAACGTTCTTTCGTGCACCAAGATCACGACTTCTAGCTATCTTCTTTTTATATATATATATATATCTCTCTCTCTTTTTTCTTTTTATTTTTCTCCTTTACAAACTAACTGCGAATCGTATACGTCTTTATTCCTACTTTTCTTATTTCTCCTTGTCTTATCTCGTAACGGGTTATCGTCGCGATTATTCCGAAACGATATAACGTATCCAAGAAAGTATTCGCAGTTTTCTGATAGCGATAAAGACAGCGAATTGAGAAAAAGAGAAAGGTACGAGAAAAAGCTTGGGGGAGAGGAATTTGAAAATGGTACAAGACAGCTACGTTAAGGGGATTATTAAGATCGAGTATCTCAAAGGGACGGAAATGGTCGTTTCGTTCGCGAAACAAGGGATTAATCCAGCAATTCGAATAAATGTTTCATCAGAACGATATATGGTTATCTCAGATTATCCTTTCAAATGGATCAATTTATATACCTTAAATCAACGTAAAAGCCAAAAAATCGATCCAAATATTCTGTCACGTTTCTCTTTTTGAAAACGAGAAGACGGCTCAAACACGTTTGATTTGTTTATTTCTTCTTTCATTTCTCCCCCTCCCATCCAAACCTCCTCAACCCATCGCGATAAAACGTAACTCCATCGTAACTGAAGTTAGCTCGGCTAACGCTCGATGAAATTCGAAGCTGATGCTATTGGAGTTCTCTTTGTCGC